TCGTGGTGGCACAGATTGCCTTTGCTGGAAGCCTTTTGAAGGTTGGGTCCCAGCACTTCCATGGCGAAACCTTCAATGCTTCCGTTCACGGACAGTAAGCACAGGGTCTGCACGATGTTGGGATGATCCCTCATGCTCCAGCGCACGCGGTCGTACCGTTGCATGGCTGTCGTCCTCAGTGCCGTCATCATAACCTCGATGGAATAATCTCCGCCTGCCCCCGCGTGCATGTCCAGATCGTCTTCCAGGTCGGGGTTCTCGAAGAGGAACGTCTCGGCCGCGTGCTGCATGTCCAGTGCACTGCAGAACTGGAAGCCTAGCACGTTGTTCAAGGCATGCTGTCCGCATCGCGCCGCTTCCTGCTTCTCGAAAAACACGTCCTCCGTGTCGTGCGAGTCGTCCTTGTTGTCTTTGGCCGATTTGTTGGGTCGGGATGCTGCGAGATTTTCGCCAACAGCACGGCCTCTGTGCGCAATGCCTTGATGTCTTCGTCTCTGTTGGAAAGCAAGTGTGGCTGAGCCCGAAACAGCTTTACTGCAACAGGCCTGCCTTCCAGGGTGCCGCAATGCACGGAGGCCAGGCCACCATTGCCTAGCTCCCTTTCCAGAGACAGTTTGGCGATCTCGACTTCTGGAAGGTTGGCCTTATGCTTTTTGGCCGTCTCCTTATGGACTCCTGGTTTGACAGTTGTTGCTTTAGGTCTCCCGAAGGAGTAGGCCAAAACGCGAGGCAGCCCCAGGGCTGCCTGCGGGTAGTATGCTCCAGGGCCGGGAGACTGCCATGAGCCCCGGCCGGAGAAGCGCGTGGCTTTGGCAAAAAGCCATATCGGCTGAGGCTTTGCTGTCTAAATTGCTACATCTGCTACCAGTACGAGCAGTTCCTTGCGTGTGCAACCGAAACCCTGCCATGCAGAATCGAACCCTAGCAGCCGCAGCTTCTGAGCCATCAGTCTCAAAACAGCATGCATTGGGCGTAGGTAAGCACGAACCCGAGTTGAGACTGACCAAAACATCAAGCAACCAGCAACCAACTACAAAAAACACCACCATCACCACCATCACCACCACCAAAGCTCAAACCAGAACCAGAACAATAACACTAACAATAACAGAAAACAGAAAAACAACAACAAGAACAAGAACTGCAGCAGCAACAACAGCAAACACAACGGCAACCACGGCGACGACGACGACGACGACAACAACAACAACAACAACCACCACAACAACAACCACAACCACAACCACAATCACAACCACAACCACAACCACAAGCACCGCGACAACGACAACCACAACCATAATCCGCAAAGAAACGGCCTGTAAGCACGCTGCTACGTGACTGGCATCCGCCCCTGCACCTCGGAGCTTCAGGCAGACTGAAGTCGTCTTTACTAGTAACTAATGCCTTCACTAGTACGGCTGCGGGCATCACTATGAAGATGACACACTTGCCGCTGCTCACAGTATCATGTTCAGCATGCGTGTTTCTGACCAAGCATTTCCCGCTTCTGTTTCGGATGTGCATAAATACATGTAATTCTAAGCTCCGTGCCAATGGTGGAGGAGAGGAAAGGTAGAAGGCGAGGCCATGCCTCCCCGATGACAAGGGACTTCTGTCGGTCAATTAAATACTGGCCACTTCAATGAGCACTCCTTGAATTGCACATAATCAGCAATGATACTGCTATTGCCTGCTACGACTGCTGCGGCTGCTGCTGCTGCTGCTACTAATACCACTACGGCTCCTCCTGCTGCTGCTACTACCACCACTACTACTACTGCTACTACTGCTACTACTGCTACTACTACTTCTACTACTACTACTACTACTACTACTACTACTACTACTACTACTACGACTACAACAACAACAACAACTACTACTACTACTACTACTACTACTACTCCTGCTGCTGCTTTTTCTAC